GCGCAGATATTTATCATTTTCTATCAGCATTGGCCAATGTTTAGTGAAGCCGATTCAAAGCCAGGCACATCCTCGGGCAGCTCGGCGCTGTAGCAGAATTAATTGAAATGTTTGTTTTTTTTCTTTAAACTAATTCAGCTTTTACATTTTTGTGCATCAGCTGTTGTTATTAAAGATATTTTAGCATGAAAATAAGGTGAAAAATATCTAGATATAAGCCCAGAAAAATCGGTAGTACATATCGGCCATCGGCTGACCATGTCTCTCTTACATATCGGTATCGGCAATAGAAAAACCATTATCGGTCAACCTCTCATTTCTCATTCATCATTTTTGAAGAATGTAAGGACTCACTCTCAACTTCCAAGACAGAAGATGCAATAAAGGATGTTTATTTTCTTTGTTGATGGTAAAAACATTTATTTTGCAATATGTGTCAAAGTTTATGTCACAAATGGAAAGGTCCAGGAAGGAGTTCCTGACATCCCTGTCCTCAATAGCACTCTCCAGCTCCTTCTGGGAGATCTGGAGGTTATTCCCAAGCAAAGTTGCAGGTTCGGTGGCGCCAATGTTCGGCAGGCCTCACATTGTCAGTGCACCCCAGGGCAGCTGTAGCTACGTTGTAGCTCATCTCCACCAGCGTGCGAATGTGTGTGTGAATGGATGGATGACTGATTGTGTTGTGAAGCGCCTTGGGGGGTTGTAGAACCCTAAGAAGATGCTATACAAATTCAGGTCATTTACCATTTAGGGGTGGGGTCACAGGGGGCCCCTGCTGAAATCTGATTGGTACCTGAAGGGCCCCATCTCATCTGGCCTTTTCTCCATGACCAGATTATGAATTAATGCAATTCCAAGTCCAAACGCTAATGGCGCTAATGAGTCAAATAAGATTTGTGGGGTTTTTAAATTTTTTTTACTCACAAACTTTAAACTAATACTATTTGTGACAAAAAAGTTAAACCCTCTCAAATGTTCTGTGTTTATATTTTGTCTCTGTACAATAAACATAAAGGTAAAATTACTTGTGTCTCAACATGGTGTGAATGGTGAAATGTGTCAACTAGAGGTCGACCAATATTGGTTTTTCTATCGCCAATACCAAAAGGTCATGGTCAGCCGATGGGCTATTTGTGCTGGCGATATTTTGGGCTGATTTTCATGGCCGATATCTAGATGTTTTCCACCTTATATTCCTGATGACATTAGTTAATGCACAAAATTTCACAAGCCAAATAACTTTTTGAAAACTGAATTTTACCAGCTTTTGAATCCTAAATTTGTGCACTGCTCAGTGTTAAAATCAGACATCTAACTAAAGTTAATCAAACAAATCAGCAAACCGACCAAGTATTAAATATTCAAAACTGGTAAATAAAAGTAAATTTTAGTTGGAAATAAATTTTAGAACATTTATTAAAGCAGATGTATTTCAGGAACACATAAATACACGGCTGGGGGATGTGCCTGACTTTAAATCGGCTTTACTGCGGAGATAAATTGGCCGACATATACAAAATGTCAAATATCGGCCGACCAATATTTGTACCTCCATTATACCTTACCAATATCGGGGATTGGACTAATACTTGGCCCCTTTATAAATATTGGGGCCCTTTGATTGCCCCATAGTCAGAAAAATCCTTGATCAGCCACTGCTCCAAGGCCAGAGAAAGTATAATATTGCATTAGAGAGTTCTGGGTCCTCCCCAGGGGCTTCTCTCAGCAGACTGTAACCAGAAAGCCAGCATGAGCCATCCTAGTCAGACCCCCAAACAACCTCTTTCAGCTCTATTCCCAGGCTCCTCAGACCTGGGTGCGCTATTCCTAAAAAACCGGTAAAGGTATTGGGATCATCAAAGTTTTAAACAGTGGAAGAAAAATACTAGTAGTAAATTTAATGTTTATTTTTTTATAACAGAAGTAAACCTTAAAACAACAAAGTTAAAAGAATGAACGTCTTCATTTGCTACCCTTTGATTCACACTGTTGGTGCGGCCAAATAAATAAACAAGTGCACTTGTCTTTAGTTGTGACTGATTATTTCAGGCATGAGTGTTATTGTGCCAAAAGTGCCAAATGAAAGGACGAGTTGGCCGCTAATCTGCTTAAGTACATCAAAGTATTTTTAGATCCCTAATCTTTTTATTTCAGTTTGCCAGACGAAATGAGAAAGAAAAAAAAACACACTATCTGCACAATCATGGGCTCACTTAAAGGGAACATTTCAGGCGACTTTAGTTTTCATTAAGTGAACATGAACGTATTTTTTGTGTTATCACGTCAGACATCCATCAGCTGAGTTCTTCTTATGTGATGCTGCATCCTCAGCAGCCTCCCAGTCAATCAGTCCATTTGTCTGGTTCCCTGTGGCTCTTCTCCGCCAAAGCAGAGAACTATCAGAACCGTCCCTGAGCTGTCTCTAATGAGTTTTCCCATTATCGTTGACATCATCGCACTGGCATTACTTCTGCGCTTAATTGATTCGGGGGGGGGGGGGATTATTAAACAGAGCCTTGTTTTAAAGCTCTTATCAGCTGAGAGTTTTTGACATCAGAGCTGTCATGACATTTGGGATTCGTGGAGCTTTGATGACACCTGTATTTTTACCTGCATCTTACCTCCTCACAACAAGACACAACTCATAATATTCACCACTTTTCCTCATTAAGCCATCTCATCGCGTGTGTGAGAGAGAGCAGTGTGCCTTTGGGGGTTTGTGAAGGACCAAACAAGAGCCTTCTGGCCACTTCAAGGCATGTCTCCAAGTCGTATTAGTGTCCCAGATAAATAGAAAGAAACACACTGAGCAATGACCAACCCGGTGGGAAGCAAAAAAAAAAAAAAAAGTGGAAGCTTGATCAGCATCCATTTTTGGTAAGTGACTGCAGGAGACCGTTTTTAGCTCAAAGAGGGAAGTACCACGCATGCTTAACTGATCTTTTTTAGCACATCGACAAAAACACAATGCCCACAGAGTGGTAAAAATACCACATCTCCCAGGGCACTGTAAAATCATTGTCTTGTGGTGTTACAGCTTTATTTTCCTACATACTATAAAAGTCTGTTTCCATTTGAAAAAAATCAATCTGCAGACTGTGTTATTTTTTTTATGTTCTGAAGCTGGTGACTCCTCCCTTTTGCAACTCTGCCATGTGGAGAGCAGATTGCTGCATCTGCACAGTGACTTTGGTGCTTAAAAATACATGAGTCACCTTTAAACCCGAGTTCAGTGCCTGGTTTGTTTGAATATGCTTCAGCTTACGTTCGTTCTGTTATTCAGCGCTTATTTATTTATTTATTTATTTATTCATTTATTTTTGCTCTAATTGCACCATTTTCCTATGCAGCAGTATTTGACCCGATGAAAAATGTAAACAGACAAGCAGGTTATGTAAGCGAGTGTAGGGTGTCGGGGTGGGTTAGTGATTGGACTAACAATAGAACCGCACTCTTGAGTCTGACCTCACTCAGAGGAAAATCTCGATTAATTGCTTGTGCTTTTAATTATTTGATTTTTATTCTGTTACGTGAATGTGACGTGCAGCAAGTTAGTTTTTCTGAGGTTCTATCTTATCGTTTCAGGTTACTTGAAATGTCCCTGCGAATTCTTTCTGCCTATGTGTGTCGTATCTTCACAAAAATGAACATAAGAAAACGATTAAGCTGTCAGATTTGTCTGATTTGTGAAGCTTAATGAGTAATTTACAAAATAAAGGAGGCAGAGCGAGCCGCGAGATGAGAAAACGTCGGAGGGAGGAACACACCCGGTGCTTTCTAAGTGAAGATTACAGTGTTGAAGACTTGTTTTTACAGCGCCAAACAGATGACAAATGCACAGCAAATGTCCTTGGAATTTTCCTTGCTCTGTTTTTCCACAGCGTAGCGGTTGTGATAATAACAACACGGCGAGTCCAGAGTTGTTTCAGCCTTTTAATGACTTTAAACTTCTATTCAGCTTGTAACTTTTTTTCCTGATGTGAATATTTGCTCTGACGAAAATAATCTCTGAGTCCTTTTGACAGAGAAACAACCTTGAATGGGATAGAGCTACCACTGCAGATGCAAAGGAAGAATGTTGACAGTGAGAAATACTCGACTGAAGTTGGATTATTTGAAGTTTGTCTCTTTTTCTTTCCTTTTCTCCCCCCGGAGCTTATCTCTGCTGGCGTTGTTGCGTTCAGGCGAAGGCGCTCCGCCAGGAACTTACATTACAATCGTTGGTTGACATAAATGTGGGTGTTCAAAGGACTTGGAGGGTTTAAATACTTTATTGTGTGTGTAATGCGAACTGAGCAATTACGTCTGCCAGCCTTTCAAACAAAGAGCTCCTATCAGGCAGGTTCATGTGTTTTTAATTAACTGTGTTTGGCTCTAAGACACAAGGAATCTAATCGTAGAAAAATAAATAGAAATCAGTATTAATCGGTGCGTCTTTAAGGCGGAATAATGTTTTATGATGGAATGATAAGAAAAAACAAGGTCAAGTTTTTTTTTTTATGTTGTGGTTACAAAAACAGTCACGTCTGTAAGAAATACTCCTCTTTGCAGAAATGGTTTGATATTTCTTTCCTTTTGTGGGTTGTAGGTTAACCAGCCTGTCATTTGCATTATTTTACTGACTGTTTGACTCTTTCAACGTCCTGGAGATGCGTGTAGTCCTAAAAACTGTCAGAATTCAAATGTAGTTTTTCTTTCCGACTCAAAGGAAACTGAAGGATTGTGTTTACCAGCACATTGGAGTCATTTGGCAGCCCCACTCAGCACAATGTTGCACTAATCCAGTTTAGAAATAATTAGCTACAGACTAGCAGGCCTGTGAAATTCCTTTTCCTGCTTGTAAATGTTCCTGTCGTTGCCTCGATTCTCTTCGGCTCACAGTCAACACGCTCCCACAGGGAATTTGTTTAACTTTTAAACATTTTTCTAATGTTTTTATTCATTATGTGCATTAAAATGTTATATATATAGCCTTATTAGAATTTCTGCTCCCTCCTCAGCTCCCAACCTGAAGGGGCGACCTCGAAAGAAGAAGCTGTCCATCTCTCAGAGGCGGGACTCTCTAGGTCAAGGGTCAACAGGGTCAAACCAAGGCTCAACAGCCGTAATAGCTCAGGATGCCTCAAGTCCAGAGAGCAAAACCACAACCAAGGTGAGATTAGATAAGCTAGTTAGAAAAACATACGACTTTACTGATTGCTCGGTCGCGCTGCGAGGAAAAGCAAACAAAATGGGTCAAACTGTTTAATTTTATGATGCTTATGTTAGGTCTAGCGTTTGAAATGTTTGCCTAATGTTTGTGCTCCAGCTCTGCAGCTCCTGTTGCTAACCAACGGCTTCCCAGGTCATCGTTTTTTATCTTCAGCTGCAGAACAAGGCGGCAGCGTCTCCGTTTTCCAAACAATCTGCTGCACCCTGCAGCAGCAGCGTAACAGTCAGGGCACAAAAACTAAAACGTGACAACAAAGGACACACGTTGCACCAAGGCGTGATATAATCCGACATTGGTGGAGCACATGGGACGAGTTGTAACACATGATCCAAATATCTGCTTCCTTATCTCTGAAGCAGTTTTAGAACAATCTGATTTATTTTATTGGACTCATTTAGTCATCGATTATTCTTGGTAACATCTGTTATGAAACAGAGCTCTCTTCTTTCTGTGCTCTCTCTATCTCTCTCTCTCTCTCTCTCTCTCTCTCTCTTTCTCTCTCTCTCTCTCTCTCTCTCTCTCTCTTTCTCTCTCTCTCTCTCTCTCTCTCTCTCTCTCTCTCTCTCTCTCTTCCTCCAAACACATTCCCACAAAAGAACAAGATGTTTATCTCATTTCACTAAATTTTCCATTAAAATGAAGGTTGGCTTGTAAATACTGAAACCTTGAGTTGTTGTTTTAGGAAAGAAACAAAAAAACAGTTCATGTTAAAATCAAGAATTTATTGCTTTCATTTTTTTATGAGTCCTGGTCCAAAATTAAGCAGAGCATAAGTAATAAAAAAGCAAAAATCTGTGTTTTTCAACAAAATATGTCATTCTCTTAAGCTAATGGTATCTTTTTTAAATAAATGGCCTTCAATGACTGTTTTTTTTTACTGTGACCTTGCACAGTTCAATCAATATCTGCAATTTTCCCTCAATACTCCAGCTGAGCTTATCTTTGCCTAATCTGTGATGACAAGAGCCGCTCCATTGATAATCAATGAGAGGCCTCCTCTGTGGCCGCTAAGAATGTTTGTTTGCGCTTAAATCCAAACACATCTCACACAGCTGTCTGGCCTCATTTAAATAACACACTCGTTACGGCTTTTCAGGTTTCCTTCAAACGCATCTGCTGACTCCGTATGCTCCCGTCTCCGCAGGTTAAACCCAACTTTAAAACGGTGCCCAACGGGAAAATAACCACGGCAGCTAGACAAAGGCCCGCCGGCCTCAGTAAGAAACTCTCAGCTGAGGAGAAGGAGCGGGGAAAGGAGAAGGAGGAGAGAAGCGAGAAAAAGGAGGAGAAGAAAGATGAGGAGGAAGCATCAGAAGAGAGCCGAGCAGAGGAGCAGGCCTTCTTGGTAGCGCTGTACAAGTACATGAAAGAGAGAGACACGCCCATAGAGAGGATCCCCTTCCTCGGCTTCAAACAGAGTGAGTAGCACAACTTATTCTCTTATTCCCTCCCTGGCAGCGTTTAAACAAAGAAGCACTCTACTGTAGAAGCAGCGGTAAAGTTTGTGTGGGTAGGTTCTGCCGGGTTTATTTTGAGAAATTTAGGTCATAACATTGCCGGTGGGGAAGGTTAGCGAGCTGAGAGGAGATTAAAGAAAAAAGAAAGGCACCTGTAAGAAATGCAACAAACCTAAAAAAAAAAAACTTCTCATAACTTGGAGGAAAAGAAACAAAACAACATGTTTGAGAAGATGAGTTCAAATGGGAGGGTGGGGTGTACAGTGGAGCACGTTAGCTATACTGCCCCCATGTTGTGATCAAATGAGGTGCAAGTGTGTGTTTTATTCTGAGTTTTATAGCTTCAGGAGGAGGAAATGGAGAAGTGTAATAAAAAAAATAAGAAATACACCGGAAAAGAGCACAGTCAATCTGCGGTGATGGTAAAATGAAAGAATAACAATCTTAAGCTGTAAAACAGCGAGTTAGGAAAGAAGAGTAACTCAGGAGGCTTTCTGTCAGAGCACATTGTACTTAGCTTTCATGTGGGGGAGAGTATCTTCTCACACTTGTCAAAAGGTCTTCCTGTGAAGGCCAAGAACGCCCTTTAACAGCGTATAAAGAGCATCACAAGTATGGGAAACACGTCTGTGCCAGATGAAAGATCTCTAATATAGGTCAGGTGCTTAGCTTGCACTTGAAGTGCACAGGGCCGAGCAGAGAAACGTGCACGTAAACATCATAAAGAGCTGCTTTCTCATGTAAAAACGAGGGGAAAAGTGTTGATCTTGAGGAAAAAGGCACGCGAGAACGTGAGCTTTCATCTGTGGTTGCTTTTTCAGATTTACTGCTTCTTCAGAAGGAACTCACGTCAACTTGAACCGTTCTGCTCAGAATGAAACAGCTTCAGCAAATTAACGAGAGGCGGGCGAGGGAGGGGAGACGTGTGCTGAATGTATCGTTGACAGTTTATAGCTCTGTAAAACTCATTAATCTAAACTATTACACCAAGGTAAGCTGTGGTCTCCTTGACTCGGCTAACACCACCACGGTATTTTGACAGTCCTGTCGTCTCTGTTGCCAACATGCTGTAGCTTAAATAGGTCCTTGTGGTTGCTGGAGATGGAGAGACGAAGACGTGGAGAGGGAGACGGGGGGAGAATTATGCACCCAACACACTTTACTTTTAGTTAGTTTTGCTGCTTGAGCCCAGAATAAAGTCGAGGTCCGACGTGCCAACTGTTTTACATACAGCGCATGCTTTGAATCTCAAAATCAGACACATCATAAGCAAACACCCTCATTAAACGTTAAAATCATGCTGTTTAAACTTCGTCCTTGGCAGCGAGCACACATCAGCACATGTAAAGAGGAGGAGGGGAGAAAAAAAAGAAAGAAAGAAAGCACATCACAATTAATTCAAATCCTCAGATGTAATCGGCTGCCATTTTCATATTTTCTCCTTTTAAACTCACAACAGATTCATTCAGGGATCAAAGAGTCCACTTTGATGTGATGGAAAGTGAAATTGGGCTAGTTTAGCTGCATTTGAGTGTTATTTTATTCCCCTAGTTTTCTCCGAGTGTAACAAAGCAACAGATGGTTAAACGATTTACTAGATTTGCTGGCTGTGTGCACTAAAACATGCATTTGATTCACCTCCAAAATAAGTATTAGTCAGAACATGGATGGTGTTTATGTTTCTGTAGATCGCAGCATAATGATGGGAACCAGCGCAGCTCAGTCAACCATCCTGTAACCTCTAATATTAAAATGATTGGCTCAGCACAACGTCTGCTTGTTTTTCACTCTCTTAATGATTTATTGTAACTCCAGGGTTTATCTGCATTAAACATCTTTGAGCCGAGGTGCCTATTTGTGGCTAGCTGGTCTAAAACATAAAGAATGGAGGGTTTATTTGCCTTTAGAATAGAAACAAACACCAGCTTTAGTTTTTGCATTCTGTTCTATGGCTAATATTAACTTCTCTGAGATAGAAATGCAGCTTTTAGTTTATTATTTGATGAAATAATGTGAGTTTTTCCATTTAATTTCCAGTGATGATTATTTTTTGAGTGCCCTTATTTATTTCCACCAACAACCATGGAATGTGTTCCTTTTTTACACTTTTATATTATTTATGCAAACATTTCAACAAATAGTGTTTTCGTTCTTTCATAAAAGAAAGGAACGATAGAAACTGACGAATAACTGTGGCTGCAGTTTATTCCTGTAACTGGGTTATATTTTTGTCACTTATTGACTTTGCTGGGCTGCTGCTGCCTTCTAAGTTGTATGGATGCAGATGAAATGTTGCAGGGGAAAAGAGGCTGCGATCGGGAGTCAGGGGAGTAAAAACAAAAGCATCAACGGTGAAATTGTGCATTCTGAATGTTCTTGATCTGCGAGATTAACCGTTTTAGTAACCGTGCATGCAGTTTCAGACACTCACGCTCCCTCGCTTGGACATCAGCGTGTGATTGTGAACATCAGTTCCAATTTGTCTCACTTTTTCAGCCTTGTTGTCTAATTGCCATGCCATTGGTGTGTCATTGAGGCTGCATTGTGTTCCTGTTTTGTCATCCTTATCTCAGGGATAATTGCCCCTGCCAAACAGAGGGGAATTAAGAAAAGAAATTACTAATGACAAGACATCTAAGAAAAGGCATGTTCTCTCATTTCCTTTGTGCTCTGTCCCCTCCCAGTCCCGTGTGCGATTGTGGTAATTACAGTCGATGCATAACAAGCTAGTTAAATAGACCCATCTTTCTGTTTTCACAGTCAGAGAGCACAATGCGCCGGCGTGCTCAGTTCAAATAGAAAAACCTTCCCAGCTCCCTTTGTTATTCCACCCGAGCATTGACGGTCGCAGAGAGGAGGGAAGGAAAAAATCAATGCTGTCAAATGCGGAGATAGGAAAATGTCATTTTGACAAATGCAAGGCTTTGTGTACGCACAGATTGAATTTTGATGGATTTCTCCCCAGGCGAAGCCTCCTTTTCTTATTTATAGGCCTTCATATAAAAATGTTAAACAATGATGTTACAGAAAGCAAATACAAATGCCATTGGTACAAAAAGTCCCCCAATGAACTTGTGGTTCTTTGTGGGAAATATTTTCCTTTTAAAACAAGACAGTCATTTGAAGCCTCTCTGTTGCTATTTATAGCACGAATGTTTCACTAAATATGTATTTTGATATGGCTTGTCACGGCGAGTTTGCATAGGGAAATCAATGCAAATTAATTTGCATTAGTTCAAACAGCAGTTTGAGCACACAGCCAAGTGTTTGATGTCTGTAATGGTTTCCATTCAAACCTGCAGGCTGCAGCTGAGACTGATGAATGCCTTTGTCAAGAGCTTTATTTGAACACATTGTGGCGCTTGTGCATATGCAGAAATATTTAGCTTGGAATGAATTTAAAAAAGGTTTATTTGTCATTTCTTTTTGACAGCATCTAATTAATGAATTAGTTTGTAGCAAAATAGTTCTAGAATTAGCCAAATCAGTTTGCAGTTGCTGATTATTATGGAAAAGAATTAGGGCCACTGAAAATAAAAAAAAGTAAAGATAGAGAATTCTGACTTTTTTCCTCAGAGATCCAGAGATCTCAGAATTCTGACTTTCATTTCAGAACTCTGACTTTATTCTCAAATTTCTGATTTTAATCTCAGAATTCTGACTTTAATCTCACAATTCTGACTTTAATCTCAAATTTCTGATTTTAATCTCAGAATTCTGACTTTAATCTCACAATTCTGACTTTAATCTCACAATTCTGACTTTTTCCCTCAGAATTCTGACTTTAATCTAAAATTTCTGATTTTAATCTCAGAATTTACTTTTTTCTCAAGATAGTTAAAGTCAGAATTCTGAAAGAAAAAGTCAGAAATCTGAGATTAAAGTGAGAATTCTTTTTCTTTTCTTTTTTTTTTGTTTGTTTGTTTTCAGTGGCCCTGATCCTTTTCCGTAGATACTTCATCAGTTTTGAAATGTTGTGTTTTTATTCCTTCCATTTCTTGACTTAAGGATGAAAATATTCATTTCTCTGGTGTAATGACGGTAAATGACGCCATTTGTTTCAGCTTAGTTCCCTTTCCCAGAGTTCCTAACTGCCTTGTTTGTCTTCTGTCTCCCACAGTCAACCTTTGGACTATGTTTCAAGCTGCTCAGAAACTCGGAGGATATGAGTTGGTAAGTATTCACATGTGTGGCAATATATCCCCCTTTTACATTATGGTCGTCCCCCCTCTCCCTTTGTTTCACTCCTGATGGGCATCCTCTTTTGTTCTCTGTTTCTAACATATCTCACCATCTGATGCTGTCCCATATCTGCCGCCCTTCATATTTTTATTGTTGTCTTTTCCTTTGCTGCCCTCATTTTGCCCTTTAAGGTCAGTCACTTTTTTCCCAAGAAGAAAGTATCGCTCACAGCCACTTTTAGCAGAAACAGTGCTGTTGTTTTAAAAACCCCTTAGTGTGGAAAACACATGTTCCTCTGTTCTGCACAGAGCTGAAGGAAATGGGATAAATCACTCATTTTTTCCCACGTTGGAGATGGAGTAAAATGCACACACATAGCCACGAGCGTGCACACACCGGACTGGATGCAAGTGCGCGCACACAACCAAATCTGAGCCTGAAACAAGGGTGTATGAGGCATTCGACTTGGCAGACGTTTATTCATTCACTATTCATCTGCGACATGTTTCCAAAGTGCAGCGAGTGTTTGATGTGAAGTCATCAAGTGTGTTGCACATGCTTGTTTCTTCATTAGCTAGCTACACAACGCTCTCCAAACACACAACCAGATCAGACCGTAAACAGGATACGGCTCATATAATTGGGGCTCATATCCTTTTAAAGCCATCATATCTGCATTTGATTATTTCTCGTTTCATGTTGAGGCTTTGTTAGCGCAGTGGCAGCTTGGGTTTTGGTGTTTTATGACAGAGGCTGTTCGTTATTCCCATCTGTTATGGGATAAGGGATTAGAGCAGGAACAACTGACTGCATGATGTTAACTGAGCTTATTGTGTCAGAGAATTGAGTGAAGTGTATTTAATAACTGGAACATTGTGACTCAGTAACTCCTCAAGACCTTGAAATGATGTCAACCATTTTTGTGTTTTCTAATTTTTCTTTTATCGTGTTTTCAATTATTCCCCTTCCACTTTCATAGTCTTCTCTCTCTGGTCTGACTTTCTTCTTATTATTGTCCTTTCTTTGTGTTGTTTTCATCTGTTCCTCTAGATCACTGTGCGCAGACAGTGGAAGCATGTTTATGATGAATTGGGTGGCAACCCCAGCAGCACAAGCGCCGCCACGTGTACACGGAGACACTACGAGAGGTGAGTTATAGTGTATATATATGTATGCATGTGTGTATATATATATATATATATATATATATATATATATATATATATATATATATATATATATATATTTAGTCCTGGAGTTAGGCATCACACTGGATTTTCATGCACGCACAGTTAGCATTGTTTTAAGCGAGCAGACTTTCTCAGTCTGGGTCTGATATGATTTAGCAACACCACAGGACAAATATTGACATTTTTAAGTGATGTCACTGCATTTAAAAACATAATGTTAAGTTAACATTGAAGGATAAAAATGAACCGAGGAGCTTGTCTCTAATCGAGAAGTACTACATTGATGCAATTTCAGCAATCTGGTATTTTTTTTCTTTAGATAGTTAACAAATCTTATGACTTTACGGTAAAAGATTGACTAGATTTTGGATGTGTGTGCGTGTGCGTAAAAGGGGGCAGGTGTGAGAGGAAAGATTGTGGTGAGCTAAGGAGAAGAGGTCTGCTGCAGACGGTTTAAGTCCGTGGACACATGTAGCCGGGTTCATGCATAACCGAATATTCTTCCCTGACCATCTTGGAATAAAAACTTGGATTCACACCACCTCACTTTTAACAACAAATCCTGTGCATTGTGAAGCACATTCAAAGGCCTGTAGGTGGCAGTAGTTCCCAAAATTGTTGCCAACTTTGCCACAAAAAAAAAACATTCCTCAGATGTGGAATAATTAGGTGGTGGGCAATAACTGTCCTTAAACCTTGTCCTTCACTTGTGGTCTTCTACACAGAGCAGTAATTGAGCTTGTAAGTACAAGTGTAAACACAGGTCGCACAGGTGACATTTTTGTCGCGGCCAGTGATGTTGCGAAATGTAAACTCCTGGTTATTTACATCCACAAGCAAATGGTGACAATGGAGAATTCACAACTCTCCATCTTTGTCTGAGTTGTTGAAAGAATGGTTTTTGGTGCCATACATCTTCCCTATCGTGTGGATGGCCAGCCAAACGTAGAAAATACCTTTGTTCTGTGAGATACTCAGCTACATGTGTGCAGGGTCTTGGTAAAACAAACTGTAAACCCGAGCAATATCTACGTTTGGTTTTCAGTAAGTTCTATCGGTGCACAATCAGTCAGCGCAACTGCAATCTTTGTCAAAACCCTAATTCAGCTAGCGTTAGCATGGCTTTAGCTAACTTTTCCAGTAGAAAGCCTTTCAGATATGAGATTTTGGTCATATCACTCAGCTAACTCAAAAGGATTAGGGTTAGACGCACCATCAAAATGGCCAAAATAGCCACGTAAGCCTAAAAGTTGCTAGTTTAATTCCCATGTTTTCCAGTTAACATGCAGAATTATCTCTGAGTTAAGCTACTAAACCCCACCCAGCCCCCAAATGTTGGAAAAAGTCACTTTGATTACAGGGAAATAAAATCTAATGTAATGTAGCATATTTCTGAATTAACCTAAAAACTACAGCCAGATGGGAATCAGTCAATTTCATGGAACTAATTGATCAACGCTAAGGTGCTTTAGGGGGGGAAAGTGCTGTAATTTCCTTTCATTCTGTACCACAAACAAACCAAAGAGGATTAAAATCCTCAAAATAACAGCAG